AAATGAAAAAAAAAATGTTGTACAACTTCAATAATTTTTTTCTCGAAAACTATAAGAATTTTACCAAACATTTTTTTTCGATACTGACTCCATTTTTCATGACGCATCTATTCCCAACATTTTTGGATAAGTTGTGAATATGTATAAATATATTAGCATGTAATGTAAAATTAAAATTCGCTTTAAACAATTATGTGCAATTGATTTAGAAATATGGTCTATGTAATTGAAACGAATTTAGTTGAAAATGTAAAAATACATTACTAAATTACATTTCAACAAACTGTAAAGGATGAACTAATATTAGGTATGTTTTATAAAATTTTGCAAAATGAGCACGTGAAACAAAGAAACCGAACCATATGTAAAAACATACCTACATGACAGTGAACTAGCGTAGAGACGTTATAGATTGTGGTCGCCCGCTCATGCAGGTCCACATTATTGCGGATCCCATTAATAGCTACATTACGATAATCCAATAGCTCGAGCAAACACTTTATTCCCAAGTTAATTAAAACCTAGCAGTATATCACCAGCCACACTTCCAACTTGTCAAATAATTCATTTTGTAATATCACCACCTTGCGGTCTAATGCCATTTTATTTGCTTCTATTGCTATGGCAGATAGTAAAACTGTGCGTGAGGACAATGTGATCGTTCTTAAGAGACGGGGTTGACTAAGTTCATTTTTCTCCTGGCACATGCAGGGTGAGTAACCGCGGATAAGATAAAGGTTACTTTTTTGTGACTATAAAATAATATATTAGGATTAAAAGTGTTTTATGGCGAGCAAATTCTGTATTTGCGAGGCGAAGCGTAGCGTAGCCGAGCGGATGCAAAATTGCGACACAAAAAAGACACTTTTAATCCGAATAAAACATGCAATTTTTTCTCCAACCGAAACCCCCCATTTAATTATTAACTTGTGCTTTAAAGTTAATCAAACCAGATAATAAATCAAAATAGGTATAGGTATATCGATGTAGTCATGGATACTTTGTCAAACATTAGTCGCCATATTGCTAACTGAGTCCATTCGTGATTGTTTGTGGTTCAATTTGCTAAACTCTGTAAAAATGGAATCTAATGAAGATTTAGGTATACCTGAGGAGATACTGGAGTGTGCGAAAGAAGTCATTTTGAATCTTCTCCGAAAGAAATCTCGAAAAATTTATGAATGTGTCTACCAACGTTTTATGGATTGGTGTAAAGAAAAAAAAAACATTAAGTTGTATTCAGAAGATGTATTGATGGTGTATTTCCCACACTTAACAAATAATAAAATGAAGCCGTCAATGCTTTGGTGACAATATTCAATGTTGCGGTTAATGTTGGATATAAAGAAGTGGATTGATTTAAGCAAATATTCAAAGTTACGTGCTTTTCTCAAGAGACAAAATGCGGGAAATCGAAAAAATTGCGAATTACAAAGAAGCAAGTTGATTGCTTTTTGAATAGTGCACCTGATAATTTATATTTGATGATGAAGGTAGACACTTTAAAAATAAAAGAACAACATTTTGAAGAAGCTTCTTTATACCTAAGTCGTCCTAATATTGGGGGTTGTAGGCGCATGCCGTTCTGATGAGTTAGTCATTTTAACAATTGATAATGTTGAAGATATGAAATCTGCCTTAATTATGAAAATTCTCAATACCAAAACCAAGAGACCAAGTTGTTTTACTGTGCTGGGAAATAATTATTTAAGTTATTATCGAAAATTACGTCCATCCAGATTGGCAGAACGTCGATTATTTCTCAGATATGTTAGTGGAAAGTGTTATCGAATGGTGGTCGGTAGGTATTCATTAAATCAGTGCGTCTCGCAAGAAGTGGCAAAATTTTTGAAGCTGGACAACTGGAAAGAGTACCTACAGTGGACACGCATTACGACAAACGTCTGCTACCCTTTTAGTTGACGGTGGTGGTGATCTCACTTGTTTTAAAAGACACGGCAGGGTGAGTAACCGCGGATAACGGAAAGGTTACTTTTTTGTGACTATATAAAATAATATATTAGGATTAAAAGTGTTTTATGGCGAGCAAATTCTGTATTTGCGAGGCGAAGCGTAGCGTAGCCGAGCGGATGCAAAATTGCGACACAAAAAAGACACTTTTAATCCGAATAAAACATGCAATTTTTTCTCCAACCGAAACCCCCCATTTAATTATTAACTTGTGCTTTAAAGTTAATCAAACCAGATAATAAATCAAAATAGGTATAGGTATATCGATGTAGTCATGGATACTTTGTCAAACATTAGTCGCCATATTGCTAACTGAGTCCATTCGTGATTGTTTGTGGTTCAATTTGCTAAACTCTGTAAAAATGGAATCTAATGAAGATTTAGGTATACCTGAGGAGATA